CATTTAGAATTAGAAAATAATGTTACCCGTTTGAAAAATGTAATAGTCTTATCAATTCAACAAGGGCTTGCTGCAGAGATTAGAGAAGGGGTAAAAGAATTTGGAAAGTGGATAGAAGTGGGAATTAGTTTTATCATTCCATTGACTTCGATCATCTTTTGAAGCAAATTACGAAATAATTTTTTTTTTTTAAAAAAAAAATCCTTTTGTATTTATTATAAGTTAGGATGTAAAACAGATAGCTGAAGAACAAGAAAAGGATAAAGATAAACAAGCCATTTTACAAATGTTACGGAGAAATGAAGAACAATTCAAACAGTACGTATGTTTAAATATATTTAATATTGGATTACGTTCGTATCTCAAGTAGTTTGTAAAATTAAAAATTTTTATTGTTTATTCTAGATTACAATCATCGATTCGAAGAGCTATTTTAGCTTCTAAACAAAATATAGATAAAGAGGCTAAAATAGAACGCGAAATGTTGCTTGGTCGTGGCGATGGTCGTAATTTAGAAGCATTTGAAATGAGAAGGCGTAATCTAACGTTAGTTGGTCTTTATAATATTTATTTAACAAGGACTTTACAGTTTAAATTAAAAAATTTCCGTCCATTCTTCAATTATAATTTTTAGTTCTGAAGATGCTATTTTACATTCTGCAAGCGATGTTACAGAATCATTGCGTCGAACGACTCAATTGATGCAACAAGAGATTGAACGAAGTGCTTATTCAGCAAAAGTACTTGGTAAGGAGCAAATGTCACATTGGAAAAACACATCAGAAAGAAAATACTTGATCCTTATCTTTTACATTTTACCTTATTTTAGACGAATCATCTCGTACGCTAAAGACAACTTTTAATGAATACCGAGGATTTTCTTCAGTAGTACGCAGCTCAAAACAACTGATCACAAAATTGGAACAAAGTGATTGGACCGATAGATTACTTATTCTTTTTGGTTTGTTTGTATTCATTCTTGTTGTAGTGTATATTTTAAAGAAAAGAGTATGGAATACAGGATTCGGATGGATATCTTGGTTCGCTTCTTGGTTCATATAAGGGAGATTTTTCTCATAAATTACAAGAACTTTAATCTTAGTTATAAATTAATATAATTTTTTTTTTTAAAAAAAAATGGTTGTTCGTATAACATTTATTAAAATAGAAAGTTAACCAACGATAAATATAAATTTTATTAAAGCAAAGTAGTTAAGCAACTAGTAAACGAAATTATTGAATTAATTATTATTTTCTAAATTTTTTTTTGGAAAAGGAATTGTCTTTAAAAGAATGATATGGACAATATCATATTGTAAAACTTTCACCACATCCACAACTTTCTTTAACATTAGGATTGTTGAAAACAAATTTGGAGGACAACCTATCCTCTACAAAATCCATCTCGGATCCAATCATTTTGAAAAGAGATTTAGAATCAATAAGGACTGTAACACCTATAATATAATATAAAAATTAATTAAAAATAAAAATTATAATTTATTTGACAGAAACAATTTTCTTATTTACTTACCATCCTGGCTCACAACCTCATCAAATTTTTTTTTTTCTTTGGTATATTCTAAAACATAAGATTGTCCTGCACAACCTTTATTCTTAACAGCTACACGAATTAATTTAGGTTCAGGTCCATCTATTAATTGACGGAGTCGATTCACTGCTGAAGGAGTCTTAATTGTATTAAAGACAAATATTATTATAACAATTGAAATAAGTAAAAATAGAAACAAAGCAATAAGCACTTTACCAAGGTCATGGCCGCTTTCTTCCTCTTGGCTCCCAAGGAACCAGCCATTTTGAGAGTTGAATTAGCTGCTGATCTAAATGCCGACATTTTGAAAATGAACTTAAGAATTACAAAAAAGGTAATATAATGTTAAACTTTATCATTTTATTATGAAAAATGGTTATGAAATGCAAAAATTAAAATTTTTTTTTTAATTTGTGATTTGTAAGTTTTATAGCAGTTGACGAATGACAAACTTGTAACACATTCTAATTTTCAAGTGATGATTGTCATCTGGAAACCTGATTAAAGGACTTTTTTTTTTATTTCATTGATGCCTTCAGGATAAAAAAAAAAAAAATGGTAATGCAAAATTTTTATTTAGAAATGAGAATTTTAGATTTTAATTAATTGTATTTAATTTAATAAACTAGCCAAATAATAAACGTCATACGTTCAAACAAATCAAAAACAAAAACT